GCGCGCTTAGGCCGCTGGCCAGATCGGTTGAGCGTGTAGAACGGCCGCCGGCTGACCCCAAGTGAAGGGGGTAGGACTAGGAGTCCTAGGTGTTAGCCATGAGTGGCAATCATGAGATCTATGCATATGGAATATGGGCCGGAAGGGCATGAAATGTGGATGATTGTTGTTACATGGCTAATGAATAATATTTGAACGCTTGAAACCTAGATTGTTGAAGCAAGCAAGCCTCAAAGAGTGGAGGTATCTGCTGCCGGTTAAAAAAAAAAGAAAAAAAAGAGGAAAGTAAGACGAGAAAGAAAGCGAGCAATTGCGAAGTGCGAAATGATGGGGATTGTTTAAGGAGGCTACATGATTCGGCCAGCACCCGCCCAATTTAATGGGACAAGAGAGGGCCACTAGCAAGGCAAGCACACAAGGAGGCATACAGATGGAGAGGGGCAGGCATATGACTACGCGCAATTGCCACGACGGGAAAATATCCCGCGATACAAGGCACGCTACTAAAAAAAAAAAAAAAACAAAAACAAAAACGAGACACGATACGGCAGCCCACCTAGGGCTTGTTGAACACCGCGAAAGAGAAGAAGACGAGGAAGAAGAGAGAGAGGGAGAGTGAGAGAGAGGGAGAGAGAGAGAGAGAGAGAGAGTGAGAGAGAGAGAGTGAGAGAGAGAGAAGCCAACGGGCCAATCCGGAAGAGAAGATGAGGAGTGCGCAAACGACCTATCCGGTATGGGCTCATCCACACACGGCTCCGTTGTTGGTACATGCAATCGTATCAAGGACAATAAGCACCCGCCAAAAAAAAAAAAAAAAAAAGAGGCGTACTCACAGTCCGTGCCTTTTTGCGACCCGTGGCACTGATACACAGGCGATCGAGATGGGCGAGCAGCACATTCCCTACGAATACGCGATCACAGACGAGCTCGTAACAAGGATGCGCGAGCGACTACGCGCGGCATTTCCATGGTGGAGTTCATGGTGCGAAAGCAGCTTCATACTATCAGTAATGATACACGGCTACTGGATGTCGTGGAAACTTGCCGCCCCGGTGCTGTTCCAGCGGGACAACCATGCGGGCGCACAGATCCTCGCCCAGTTCACCAAACAAGCTATTTGCAAGCTCCTGGAAAGCGGCGCAGCGGCTCTCTCCCCCGCGGATCAGGCTGTATGCATTAGCCCACTAAACGTGGTGGTCCAGAGAGAGAAATGCCGACTGATCCTCGACCTCCGCCAAGTGAACCTGCACTTGCGCATTCCAAAATTCAAATACGAGGGGCTCAACCGGGTTGCGGAGATCGCTCGCCCGGGAGATTGGATGTTCTCGATCGACATGAAGTCTGGGTATCACCACGTAGATATTCACCCATCATGCTGGAAGTACCTGGGGTTTTGATTCGACGGAAAGACATACATATTCCGCTCGCTCCCTTTCGGCCTCGCGACAGCCCCGTTCGTTTTCAGACAACTGATCAAACAACTTGCCCGGCGCTGGCAAGCCATGGGCATACGGGTCATTCCTTATGTGGACGACATTCTTTTCCTTTGTGACACGGAAGCAGTGGCACGAGCCACATGCCACCTAATCATACATGACCTCAACAAGGCAGGCCTGGTGATCAACTCGAAAAAGTCGCAGCTGGAACCGACCCAGCAGCTGCGTTTTCTCGAAGTCGAGCTAGACACTGATCGTGGTCATTTTTAGATTGGCGCTGAACGACGGGCCTCACTACTCTCCACCATCCAAGACCTACAAAGGGCAGGAAAGGCAAGACGCAAGGTCCCATTGTCAGAGTCACCGGCATGCTAGCGTCCATGTCCCTGGCCCTTGGGGCGACGACGCGAGCATTCAGTCAAGGCCTACTGCACGCAATTCAGCACGCACCATCATGGAACAGCAAGGTGCCGCTTGACCCCACGGCCATCGAAGAGTTGGATTTTTGGCGCCACGAATTCGACAAATTTATTGGTGCCCCGTTCCACGTCCCCGACAGCTATGATGCCGTGATCCACGTGGATGCCAGCGCACACAGCTGGGGAGCGACGTTGGACAAGTTCCCAGGACAGCGTCTCGAGGTTAGTGTGGCAATGCCAAAGCACCTGCTGGAGGCATCCAGCACGCAACGCGAGATCGATGGTGTACTATGGGCGCTCCAAACGTTTGCAGAACGGATTCGTGACCAGCACGTTCTCGCAAGGACCGATAACCAAGGTATTTTCTTCATCTTCAGAAAAGGCGGTTTGAGGCACGACAATCTCACAACGACATGCAAGTCGATCATTCAGATATGCACGACCTTTCGGATTCGGCTCATGGTCGAATGGATCCCGCGCGAGCTAAACACACGAGCGGATGAGCTTTCCAAGTCGCTCGATCGGGACGACTACTCCCTAAAGACACCTTGGTTCCTCCTCATCGAGCGTCGTTTGGGCCCACATTCAATCGATCTATTCGCAAATGGGAGCAATACCAAGCTGCCCCGGTTTTGCTCCAAAATACCGCACCCAGATGCAGCAGCAGTCGATGCGTTCTCCATCCCTTGGATATCCGAGCGGGGATATGCATTCCCACCACCCCAGCTGATCCCGGCAGTACTCCACCATGCCAAACAAACTCACGCCACCTTCACGCTCATCGCACCCCGCTGGGCTGGTGCAAGCTGGTGGCCCCTACTGCAACCCTCCCCCCCTCAATGGGCCCCCTACATGTCAGTAGATCTGCACTGTGGATGCGCGATTGATCCTGGAGAGGGTTACAGGCGCGTTCGCCTGGGGGGTTATGGGCGCACTGACCCGCTACTGAAACAAGCCCTTTTATCCCAATGGTCTAGTGGTTGGGATTCTGACATGGTATCAGAGCGGTCTCGGGCTCGATTCCCGTTGTATGCACATGTAGGCCGGTGCCGCTGTGCTTAGTCCTGGGCCTTCCAGTGTGGGGGGTTGTCAGTAGATCTGCACTGTGGATGCCCGATTGATCCTGGAGAGGGTTACAGGCGCGTTCGCCTGGGGGGTTATGGGCGCACTGACCCGCTACTGAAACAAGCCCTTTTATCCCAATGGTCTAGTGGTTGGGATTCTGACACTACATTCATACCCACATTCCCCTCACGCACGGTAGCCAGTGCGTGACGGCAGGCAATCACTCGAGTGCCTTTTCTGGTGACGGTCTACCATGCAGTCCCATGGTTGCACTACGCGTGTCCTTCGTCTGCTAACCACGCTCGTACTCGATGCAGGATTGCTGGAAAAACTCAAACATCGGCTACTAGAGATCACCACCCAAACGCGGGCCGACTCAACAATCCGCATGTATGAGCCCTACTGGGTCAAGTTCCGCTTCTTTTGCCAACAACACAAGCTCAAGTTCCTCCCATGCATCGACATGTCGCTCGCCCTGTACCTGGTGTCCGCAATACAGTTGACATGCTCGGCAGTCAGCTTCGCGCATCGGTCGATCGGTGCATCATGCCCGTCCACTGGTCCATTCACCTTACAAGTCAGGGAGTTCGCGAAGAAGCAATGCCCGCATCATACCCGGGCCATTGAAATGAGACGATGCCATTGCTACAACAAGAAAGCAAGCTTTCTAAATGCTCACATGTATGCTGCCATCTGTCGCTTCTCCCCTTCCACTGCTTCGTTTGATCTTTATGCCCATAGAAGACTTGATAGTCCTAAATATCCACCGCTTTGTTTGCCAGGTCCGTGCACAGCCCGCCTTGCTGCGACATCAGGAGTGCCACCCGTCTTGCTGTGTAACCCCCCAGCTCAGTAAAGGGATCCCAGACGCCCATGCCCCCCTCCTTCCGCGGTTTAAACAGCAACTCCTGGCTCCAGAGTGCGAATTGCTTCCCTGCCGTCGCATGATTCCCGGACACGAAGTTGTGGAGCAACTCACGATCTTCGCCCATATTTCCAGGGGAGGTGCATACACCTGCGCTTGAAAGGCGAAGATGGGGTTCATGTAACCGTTCACCACCGCTACCCTCGCCGTGGTGGTTCGGTAATGAACCTGCCACTTCCCAAAATCCGCGGTTGCTCGCTCCAATGCGATCTCCCACGTTACGGCCGCATCCCCCGAGGGTGAGTTCAACACCCCAAGCAGTCGCTTCGCTTCATATAGTTTTACCCAACGAAAAACTGAGTCCTTGTCTAGCTTTTTTGACAGGTTACCCCTAGAGGAAGGAGGGCTGACTTCTCCGTGTTCACTCGGAGGCCCGACCTCTCCCCGAAATCATCCAGCAGCTTCACCGCCCGGCGAATGTGCCGTTTGCCGTCCAGCACCAGCGTTGTGTCGTCCGCATAACCCACGTAAGCCAGCCTTCCACCATACGGGTTACTGATCCCCAACTTCCTTCTTTTCGCTGCTTGGCAGATCGGCTCCACCGCGCAGAGGAGCAAATACGGCGCGAGCGGACACCCTTGCCGCACTCCCTTCTGGATGGCAACACTCTCCCCCAGCCAGCCGTTAAGGAGCAGCCTTGTTGACGAGCCCTCATGCGGACCTCTACACCATCCGACAAACTTTCGTGAAAAGCCCATTTACTCCATTGTGCTGAAAAGGTAGTCGCGCGAGACGGAGTCGAAAGCCTTCTGGAAGTCCACCGGTAGAAGGTACTCGTCCTCATTCTTGTTTTTCGCCGCTTCAACCACGTCAACGACCAGTGAAACCCTGTCGGATAACCTCCTACCACGCAAGAACCCATATTGTTCTTCAGCAATTACTTTGCCCAGCACCTTCCTCATCCTATTCGCGATCATCCGAGAAATCAGCTTGTACGTGCTGTTCAGAAGTGTGATCGGCCGGTAATTCTGAACCTGCTTCTGCGGTCCTTTCTTGTGCAAGAGGACGGTGACTGCCTCTTGCGTGAATGCCGGTAAAACTGCCGTTTTTTTTAAACTCCGCACAAACCCGAGGAGATCACCACCCAGCAGGTCCCGATGGTGACTGAAAAACTCCTTGAGAATCCCGTTTGCGCATAAGGACTTGCCGAGAGCCATGGCCTTGAGCGCCTCCTTGAGCAGGTTCTTGGTCTTCCGCCTTCTACTAGTCCTACTCCTCCCTTAAAGTGTCCACAGCTTGTCCACTTACAGTCACATTTAAAGCTCGCCTCCCTCGTGCCTGCTCCTTCTCCCTACACGGGTCCTACTGGAGGTCTTGCTGAGCGTCGTGAGCTTGCGTCTCGTCCTGCATCGCCTATTCGTGCTGCTCGCACTAGTAGTCATGCTCTGCGTCCGCGTCCTCCTGCGGTCACAAGCACACACCAGATGGCAACGTTGCTGTCTCCTCTAGCGTCCTCTCTTCCTGTTCTTGCTGACTCGGAGTCTGACTCCCTTCGTGCTGCCAGTCCTACTATCACGCGTCTCTTAGCTATTGTTGTCACTGACCCTTCCTTTGAGGCCACTGCTGCGTCTGCCTTGGTTGCTGAGCTTGCCGACTTTGCTGCCACCTGTCGTCTAGACTACGCCGCTAGTCTCGTTGCTAAATCTAAGTCTGTCTGTCCTCTGTCCGTCGGGGTTGAGTGTGCTCTTAGCACGGACGTCCTTGAGGACAGGCAAGAGGAGTTCCAGTGTTTTGCTGCTGCTTTACCTCATCTCGTGTCCACGCTGATTGCCCCTGAGGGAGACCTTGATGCACCAGACATCCCGACTCCTTGATCGTACGCTGAGGCGATCGAGGGTCCCTACTCCTCTCAGTGGGAGTCAGCTATGGACGCAGAGATGGCTTCCAGGAAGTCCACAGACACCTACATTTACGAGGTTCCCCCACCTGGGGCGAACATCGTCACTGGCATGTGGATTTTCAGGGTGAAGCGGCCGCCGGGTTCTCCGCCTGTCTTCAAGGCGCGTTACGTGGCTCGAGGCTTCAGTCAGCGAGAGGGAGTTGACTACTTTCAAACCTTCTCTCCCACTCCGAAGATGACCACTCTTTGGATGCTGCTGCACATAGTTGCTCAGTGCGACTACGAGCTTCACTCTCTTGACTTCAGTACAACTTTCTTGCAGAGCAGCCTGCACGAGGAGATGTGGCTGCGCCACCCACCTGGCTTCACTGGGTCGTTTCCTCCTGGTACCCAGTGGAACCTCCGACAACCAGTCTACGGTCTCCGCCAGGCACCCCGTGAGTGGCACGACACACTGAGGACTACACTTGCGGCTCTTGGGTTTGCTCCTTCTACACCAGACGCGTCACTGTTTCTGCGCACCGACACCTCTTTGCCGCCGCTCTACATCCTCGTGTACGTCGGTGACTTGGTCTTTGCCACTGCTGACACTGCTGGACTCGCCCACGTGAAGTCCGAGCTACAGAAGAGACACACGTGCACTGACCTGGGTGAAGTGCGCAGCTACCTTGGTTTGCAGATCACCCGGGACAGAGCACAGCGCACCATTACTCTAACTCAGTCACACATCGTGCAGCAGGTCCTTCAGTGCTTCAACTTCACGTACTCCTCGCCTTAGGCCACTCCTCTCTCTACTCGCCACTCGCTCTCAGCTCTGCCTTCGGATGATTCCATAGAGTCGAGTGGCCCGTACCCAGAGCTTATTGGCTGCCTCATGTACCTGATGACCTGCACACAACCTGACGTTGCATACCCTCTTAGCATCTTGGCACGTTATGTTGCTCCTGGGAGACACCGACCAGAGCACATGGCTGCAGCGAAGAGGGTGTTGCGCTACTTGTGCAGTACGTCGGGCATGGGGCTAGTGCTTGGAGGGCGGCGTTCAGTGGTCCTCAAAGGTCACGCAGACGCTTCTTGGGCTGAGAACCAGGCTACGCAGCGGTCATCATTGGGTTACACCTTCAGCCTTGTTTCCAGCTCTGTTTTGTGGCGGTCTACCCGTTCCTCTTCTGTTCTCGGCTCCAGCTGTGAGGCTGAGATCTACGCGGGGGCCATGGCTTCACAGGAGCTACGCTGGCTCACCTACCTGCTGAGTGACCTAGGAGAGTTGCCTCGTTCTCCTCCTGTTGTGTACGTAGACAACAAGGCCATGCTAGCCTTGTGTCGGGAGCACAAACTGGAGCACAAAACAAAGCACATTGCTCTGCGCTACTTCCTTGCTCGTGAGCTGCAGCAGTGTGGTCAGCTCCGCCTTGCTTACGTGGCCTCTCAGGCCAACACTGCTGATATCTTTACCAAGGCACTTGCGCCTTGTGATCATCAGCGCTGCTGTACGATGCTAGGTCTTGTGCCTACTTGGCCACACTTACTCACTTCTTGACCTTGCTTGTATTGTGATCTTTCTATACCTGTACTTGCTTGTTTACCTTTATATATGATCTTGCATGTGAACTAGCCTTGTGGCCTTACTCTACTGCTCGGAATGTGTGGTGACGTTGCGATCCACCCTGAGCTTGCTTTACTTTGCTTGACTTGTCTTGTTACCCCTAGTTCTCCCCCACTTTGCCTATGGGGGTGTGTTAGACTTTGCGTAGCCAAGTCGTCAACCCAGGAAGCGTCTACATGACCAGTGAGGACAATTGAACCCTGTCCTCCAAGCACGAGGCCCATGCACAACGTACTGCACAAGTAGCGCATCACCGTTTTAGCGGCCTTCTAGTGCTTTGGTCAGTGTCTCCCGTGCGCAACGTAGCGTGCCAGGATTCTAAGAGGGTAAGCAAGGTCAGGTCGAGTGCAGGTCACAGGTACATGAGGCAGCCCACAAGCTTTGGATACGAGCCACTCGGCTCTACAGACTCATCCAAAGGCGGAGCTGAGAGCGAGTGAACCATAGGTAGAGGAGTGGCCTATCGCGAGGAGTACTGGAAGTCGAAGCGCTGTTGCACTATGTGTGACTGAGTCAAGGTAATGGTGCACCGTGCTCTGTCCCGGGTGATCTAGAAGCCAAGATAGCTACGCAGCTCACCAAGGTCTATGCACGTGTGTCTCTTCTGAAGCTTTGCCTTCACGTGGGCCAGTCCAGCAGTGTCAGCAATGACAAAGACCAAGTCGTCGACGTACACGAAGATGTAGAACGGCGGCAGCGAAGTGTCAGTGCGTAGAAACAGCGACGGGTCAGCAGTAGAAGGAGAAAACCCAACAGCCGCAAGAGTCGTCCTCAGTGTGTGTTGTGCCACTTGCCAGGCGCGTGGCGGAAACCATAGACTGGCCGTCGGAGGCTCCAGTGGGTACCTGCAAGAAACGACCCAGTTAACGAGGTGGGCGGCGCAGTTAGATCTCCTCGTGCAGGGTGCCCCGTAGGAAAGCAGTGCTGAAGTCAAGAGAGTGAAGCTCGTAGTCACGTTGAGCCGTGACGCGCAGTACTACCGGAAGAGTGGTTGGGGTAGGGGAGAAGGTCTGGAATAGCATAACTCCCTGTCGCTGACTGAAGCCTCGTGCAACGTTTGCGCCTTGAAGACAGGCGGAGAACCCGGCGGCTGCTTCACCCTGGAAATCCACATGCCATTAACGATGTTCGCCCCAGGTGGGGGAACCTCGTCGACTAAAGTGCCTGTGGACTTCCAGGAAGCCATCTCTGCGTTCATGGCTGACTGCTACTAAGAGGAGTACGGACCCTCTATCGCCTCAGCGTAAGAGCGCGGGGTCGGAATGTCTGGTGCATCCGGGTCTCCCTCAGGTGCAATCAGCATGGACACGAGATGAGGTACAGTAGCTGCAAAGCACTCAAAATCCTCCTACTTGTCCTCAAGGACGTCCGTGCTAAGAGCACACTCACCCCCGACAAATGGAGGACAGACAGACTCTGACTCAGCAACAAGGCTAGTAGAGTAGTCTAGACGACAAGCTCAACAAATAAGGCAGACGCAGCAGTGGACTCAAAGGAAGGGTCAGTGAAAACAGTGGCTTGGAGACGCGTAACAGTAGGACTAACAGCATAAAGGGAGTCAGACTCCGGTGTGAGAACATCATAGTTTATACATTTGTGTAGGCTGTAGTGGGGTAGGCCGTAAGGGTTACAACCCAATTAGTATTAGTACTTGTACACAACTCTTTCTTAGTTCAATCATTCTCTTATTCTAAATCTTCACATGGTATCAAAGCTGGTTCCCTCGTGGGAACTGTTCCTAGGGCTCACCAACTTTTTTTTCCTGCCCGGAGCACGCTTGGCCCCTGCTAGAGTCGCGCCCCGTGTCGTTCCTCCTCTAGTGGCCTCTAGCGGCCTCGTTTACGGCCCCTAACGGCCCCGTCGCGCCGCCCTTGCGGCCCCGTCACGCTGCCCTTGCGGCCCCGTCGCACCACCCTTTAAGCGGCCCCGTTGCCGCCCCTTACTACGGCCCCATTGCCGCCCTTTCAGCGGCCCCGTCGCCGCCCTTTCAGCGGCCCTGTCGCCGCCCTTATCAGCGGCCCTGTCGCCGTCCTTCCACAGTCCCGTCGCCGCCCTTCCACGGCCTCGCCGTCCGCCCTTACAGCGGCCCTGTCGAAGCCCTTCTACGGCCCCGACACCGCCCTTCCGCGACCCCGTCGCCGCCCTCCAGCGGCCCCGTCGCCGCCCTTCAGCTACCCCGACCCCGTCCTTTCAGCGGCTACGTCGCCGCCCTTTCAGCAGCCCCGTCGCCGCCCGCCCTTTTAGCGGCCCCGACGCCGGCCTTCCACGGCCCCGTCGTCGCTCCGCCGCCCAGCGCCCGAGCCGCCGAGAAGCCCAGCCACCAAGCAGCCCAGCCACTGAGCAGCCGAGCCGCCAAGCGGCCGAACCGCCGAGCACCCAAGCCGCCCGACCACCGAGCCGCCCTGCAGCTGAGCCGCGCGACCGCCAAGCCGCCCAGCAGCCCAGCTGCCGAGCCGCACAGCAGCCGAGGCGCTGCCGCCTGTCGGCCTGCCCGGGTCCGCCCCACTTGCCTGGTAAGAGCAGCGTCTCTGCCACTGCACTGCCCTGCCCCACTGTACTCACTGCCTATCTACTGCTGTCATGGCCTCCCCTAGTGTTCTCACCTTTGACGCTGAGGGTCGGGCAGTTGACTTTGAGGTCTGGGTAGATGATCTGCAGCTTTTTCTACAGTGCGATAGGGCAGACAGTCTCTCCTTGTTTGACCTCACTTCTGGAGCCTCTCCTGCCCCTGCTGCTCATGCTGACGCCACTGTTCGCTCACAGTGGGCCACGCACGATGCTGCTGCTCGCCTTGCTGTGCGCTGCCACTTACCAACCACGGAGCGTGCACACTTTAGCTAGTAAATGAGTGCTCAGACCTTGTACGACGCTGTAGCTGCACGCTACTCTTCCCCTCCCACTGCTGCACTGAGCCGCCTCATGCTACCGTACCTCTTCCCTGACCTTGCTGCCTTTCCCACAGTCGCTGACCTCATTACGCACCTCCGCACTAGTTACACTCGCTACCGCGCTGCGCTTCCTGCTGAATTCTGCGCCAAGAACCCCCCCCCCCCCCCCCCCCCATGTACATCACCCTCCACTACATAGTCACCCGGCTCCCTGACTCTCTCCGCGTAGTCAGGGACCACTTCCTCTTTGTTTGCCCCACCACTCTCACCATTGACCTCCTCGAGAAGGCCCTCCTAGCAGCAAAGAAGAGCATAGTCATTGTAGGAGCCTCTCGTGGTGACCCTCGCACCCCCGTCTTTGAGGGGTGTTCTCCCTCCCCCCTCTTGCCCTCTGTTGCCTCTGCTGTTGCGGCCGACCTCATTGATTTCGAGTTGGTGGGCGCTGCGTCTGCCCCAAATGGGAGACGCCGCACCGGCAAGGGCAAGGGGGGCAAGGGCGCTGGAGGGGCTGGAGGGGGCGGTGGAGGTGGTGGTGGAGGTAGTGGAGGGAGTGGGGGTGGTGGTGGGAGTGGTGCCAGGGGTGGTGGCGGCCTCGGCAGCAGTGGAGGCGGCGGAGGCGGTGGCGGTGGCGGAGGGAGCGGAGGAGGCGGAGGTGGCGGAGGAGGTGGAGGTGGAGGAGGCGGCGGAGGCGGCGGCGGTGGTGGAGCGGGTCGCGACTCTGCGCAGAGGAGTGGCTCCGTTGGTGGTCCGCGCAAGCAGCAGCGGAGTGGTGTCACCCTGTCCCCTCAGCAGCTTCGTAAGTGGTACACCGCGCGTCACCGTAGTGGGGGTTTTGGTCCCTGCACTTACGTCCTCCGTACCGGCGATCGAGCTGGTGAGCAGTGCGGAGGCCCGCACTCCACCCAGTGCTGCTTCGGTCGCCTGGCGGACGCGTGGCGTTGCCAGTTCCCTGAGGCGTCAGAGATCCCTCCCTGGGAAGATCTGTCTATGGCGGGGGTTGCCGTCTTTGATCTTGACTATGATTCTATCCTTGCTGCCATGTATTCTGTGACTACTAGTGTTGAGGGTGACTGTTACCTGTGTGTACCGCCTGACCCGGGCATTGAGGCCACTGCTCTAGGTGCTAGTGAGGCTGCTGACTAGGTGCTAGTGCATTTGCTGCCCCAGGTGCCAGTCCGTCTGCTGCCTCAGGTGCTAATGCGTCTGCTGCCCAAGGTGCCAGTGCGTCTGCTGCCCCAGGTGCCAGTGCGTTTGCTGCCCCAGGTGCTGGTGAGTCTGCTCTTGTCAGAACATATCCATAGCTTATACTGCTGTGTAGGCTGTAGTGGGGTATCCCATAGGGGGTACAACCCAGTTAGGGTTTCATATTTGTACTGCTTTCATTCATAGTCCCACTCATTTCCTGCTTACTCATTACCACATGGTATAGAGCTAGGTCCCTCCAGGACCGAAATTTTTTTTGGGCCCACCGAAGCGCGCCCCCGAGGCGCGATTTTTTTTTCAGCGACCCCTCGAGTCGCCCTCTCCCCTGCGGCCTCGCCGCCCACTCTGTCGCGGCCCCGCCCTGCTCCTTACGCGGCCCCGCCGCCTGCTCCTTACGCGGCCCCGCCCCGGCCCTTACGCGGCCCCGCGTCGCCTCCTACGCGGCCCTTACGCGGCCCCGCGCCGGCCCCTTACGCGGCCCTTACGCGGCCCTTACGCGGCCACGCCGCCGGCTCCTTACGCGGCCCCGCGCCGGCCCCTTACGCGGCCCTTACGCGGCCACGCCGCCAGCTCCTACGCGGCCCCGCGCCGGCTCCTTAAGCGGCCCGTCCCCGGCCCCTACGCGGCTCCGCGCCGGCTCCTACGCGGCCCCGCGCCGGCTCTCCCACGGCCCCGCAGCTGGCTCCCACTCGGCCCCGCAGCCGGCCCCTTAAGCGGCCCCACCGCCGGCCTCCTACTCGGCCCTGCCCCGGCTCCTATCACGGCCCCGCCCCGGCTCCTTCGCGGCCCTGCCCCGGCTCCTACGCGGCCCTACCGCCGGCCCTGACGCGGCCCCCCCACGTCTCACTTCTACGCGACCCGAGCCGCCTGTCGCCGAGCAGCCCGGGACCCGAGCCGCCCTGCAGCCGAGCCGCCCGGGAGCCGAGCCGCCCTGCACCCGAGCCGCCCTGCAGCCGAGCCGCCCGGGAGCCGAGCCGCCCTGCACCCGAGCCGCCCTGCAGCCGAGCCGCCCGGGAGCCGAGCCGCCCTGCACCCGAGCCGCCCTGCCGTCGAGCCGCCCGGGAGCCGATCCGCTGTACACCCGAGCCGCCCGGTCGCCGTTCTGCTTTTCTGTCGAGCTGCGCGACCTGCCCTGCCTGGTGAGCACAGTCCCACTGTCACTGCGTGCTCTCCCCCCTACTGCTTGCACTGCTTCACAGTAGTCGCCATGGCTACCCCTAGTGTCCTAGCTTTTGACGCTGAGGGTCGCGCCATTGATTTTGAGGTCTGGTTAGACGACCTACAGCTGTTCTTACAGTGCGACAGGGCTGACGACCTTTCTCTCTTTGATCTCACCTCTGGCGCCTCTCCTGCTCCTGCTGCTGATGCTGATCCCGCTGTCCGCTCTAAGTGGGCCACCCGCGATGCTGCTGCACGTCTTGCTGTGCGTCGCCACCTCCCTACCTCTGAGCGTGCGCACTTTAGTCAGTACAAGAGTGCTCAGACCTTGTACGACGCTGTAGTTGCGCGCTACTCCTCCCCTGCCACTGCTGCACTGAGCCGTCTCATGCTTCCCTACCTCTTTCCTGACCTCTCTGCCTTTCCCACTGTCGCTGACCTCATTACGCACCTCCGCACTAGTGACACTCGCTACCGCGCGGCCCTTCCTGCTGAGTTCTGCGCTAAGAACCCCCCTCCCATGTACATCGCTCTCTACTACGTAGTCGCGCGCCTCCCTGACTCCCTTCGCGTCGTCAGGGACCACTTTCTCGTAGTCTGTCCCACCACTCTCACCGTCGACCTCCTCGAGAAGGCCCTCCTTGCAGCGGAGAAGAGCATAGTCGCTGTAGGTGCTTCTCGTGGTGACCCTCGCACCCCCATCTTTGAGGGGTGCTCTCCTTCCCCCTTGCTGCCCTCTGTTGCCTCTGCTGCTGCTGCCGACCTGCTTGGTCTTGAGTCGGTCGGCGCGGCGTCTGCCCCTAGTGGGAGACGTTGCTCCAGCAAGGGCAAGGGAGGCAAGGGCGCGGGTGGAGCTGGGGGGGGCGGTGGCGGTGGCGGCGGTGGCGGCGGAGGGAGTGGGAGTGGCGGCGGGACTAGTGGCGGGGGTGGTGGTGGTGGTGGTGGCAGCAGTGGCGGAGACGGTGGTGGTGGTGCCAGCGGTGGTGGTGGAGGCAGCGGCGGCGGTGGAGGCGGCGGAGGTGGAGGCAGTGGAGGCGGCAGCGGCGGAGGCAGTAGTGGTGGAGGAGGTGGAGCTGGTCGGGGTGGTACCCAGCAGCGTAGCGGCGGTGGTGGTGGCAAGCGCTCGCACCGGCAGCAGCAGCAGCGCTCACGGGACATCCCTTCGCCTCAGCAGCTTCGTGAGTGGTACGCTGGGCGTCAGAGGGGTGGGGGTACTGGTCCCTGCACCTACGTTCTTCGTTCCGGCGACCGCGCGGGTGAGCAGTGTGGGGGTGCCCACGCCACCCAGCGCTGCTTTGGCCGCCTGACGGACGCTTGGCGTCAGCAGTTCCCTGGGGCTAGTGAGATCCCTCGCTGGGATGAGCTTCTCAGGGCTGGTGTAGCGATCTTTGATCTTGATTTTGATGCTATCCTTACTGCTATGTATGTTGTGGATTATAGTGAGGAGAATGAGGGTTACCGGTGTTTCCAGCCCGACCCGGGCATTGGTACTGCTGCGCTAGGTACTTGTGAGGCTGCTGCTCTAGGTGCCAGTGCGTCTGCGCTCTCAGGTACTGGTGAGACTGCGTTCTCAGGTACTGAGTCGTCCTCGTCCTCCCTCACTTTCACACTTGACTCCGGAGCTTCTCGCTCCTTCTTTCGAGACCGCACTACCCTTTCGCCGCTCGCCAGGCCGGTTGCGGTCTCCCTTGCTGACCCCTCTGGGGGTCCTGTCTTGTCTCACTTCTCCACTGTCCAGCCGTGTCCGGCTGCCCCTTCGGGCACCCTGTCGGGTCTGTACCTTCCCTCGTTCTCTACGAACTTGGTGAGTGGAGCGGACCTGCAGGATGGGGGTGTTCACCAGTTCACTCCTGCGCGTCAGCGGGTGACCCACTGCACGGAGGCTCGCACAGGCCGACACCTGGCCACGTTCTCGCGTCGGCCAGGGTCGAGTCTCTACACCCTGACCGTTGAGTCTCCTCCTGTCCCTGCGTCTGGTCAGGTGGCTGCGTCGGGTCAGGTACTTGCTGCTGCGTCCCGGTCAGGTCCTGAGTCTGCCCCCTGTTCTTGTCGCCTCCTGTCTCACGAGACTCTCCTGTGGCACCACCGTCTTGGCCACCCCTCCTTGCCCCGTCTTCGGAGCATGGCTTCCCGTGTCCTTGTCTCTGGTCTTCCCCAGTCTCTCCCTCCTCTCCCCTCCGGGCCAGGACCTTCCTTTGTCCCCTGTGTCGAGGGTCGCCTCCGGGCTACTCCTCACTCCTCCCACTTCCCCCCGACAGAGGCTCCCCTGCAGACGCTTCACATGGATGTGTGGGGCCCAGCCCCCGTCCGTGGGCAGGGTTACGAGCGATACTTCCTGTTGGTGGTTGACGACTACTCGCGTTACACCACAGTCCTCCCCTTGCGCAGCAAGGGTGCGGTCACTGAGGTGCTGATCCACTGGATCCGCGAGGCTCGTCTCCAGCTCAGGAAGAGCTTCGGCTCGGACTTTCCTGTTCTGCGTCTGCACTCTGACAGAGGCGGAGAGTTCTCTTCTCGCCTTCTGCGAGACTACTGTCGCGCACGGGGGATCCGCCAGACCTTCACACTTCCGGACTCACCACAGCAAAATGGGATTGCTGAGCGCCGCATTGGCATGGTCATGGATGTCGCTCGTACGTCCATGATGCATGCGGCTGCCCCCCATTTTCTGTGGCCGTTTGCGGTGAGGTACGCGGCGCATCAGCTCAACCTTCACCCCCGGGTCTCTCGGCCTGCGATGTCCCCAGCCTTGCTGTGGACGGGGAAGGTTGGCGATGCGTCTGTGTTCCGTGTCTGGGGATCTCGGGCGTTTGTCCGCGACTTGTCTGCGGACAAGCTGTCCCCTCGTGCTGCTCCCTGTGTCTTCCTTGGCTTCCCCACTGATGCCCCAGGGTGGCAATTTTACCACCCCTCCTCTCGTCGTGTTCTGTCCTCCCAGGACGTCACGTTCGACGAGTCAGTCCCCTTCTACCGTCTCTTCCCCTACCGCACTCCTTCCCTCCCCCCTCCCCCGGACTTCCTTGTGCCGGTTCCCCCCCCGGTAGACCCCCTCCCCCCTCAGGTTCCTGCCCCCTCAGGTGTGTCCCAGGTAGACGCCGTTGACCCGGTCGAGGTTACTGGTGACTCTGGTGCTGCTGCGGGTGCTGAGCCTGGGGGTGCTGACTCTGGGGGTGCTGTGCGCGGGGGTGCTGAGCCTGGGGGTGCTACTGCTGGGGGTGCTGGGCCTGAGGGTGCTACTGCGGAGGGTGCGGAGCCTGGGGGTGCTGAGCCGGGGGGTGCTGTGCCTGGAGGTGCTGGGTCTGGGGGTGCTGGGTCGGGAGCTGCTGAACCTGGGGGTGCTGAGCTAGGAGCTGCTGAGCCTGGGAGTGCTGCGTCTGGAGCTGCTGAGCCTGGGGTTTCTCCTGCTGCTGCGTCTCGCCGGGAGCCCCTCTCTCCACAGGAGCTGCGCGAGTGGTTCGCTCGCCGCTGGAGGCGTGCTGCTGAGTCTAGAGGTGCTGCTGGAGCTGGAGCTGGAGCTTCTTCGACCGTCGAGGGTGCGGGTGCTGCCGGTCCCGGAGCTGCTGGACCTGCGGGTCCTCCTGGAGCTGGAGCTGCTGAGGGCGCTGGTGCTGAGCCTACTGCTGTTGGTCCTGCCGCTGGAGGTGTGGGTGGCGCTGGTGCTGTCGCTGAGGGTGCTGGTGCTGTCCCTGCTGCGTCTGGAGCTGCCGCGCGGCCTCGGCCGTACTTCGTTCCGCTCCTGCAGCAGGTTCTTGGTCTTTCTCCTCCAGTAGAGGGTCCACCGCCTGTCCAGTCGCAGTCCCTGCTCGAGCCTTCCTCTCCCTTGCCTGCTCCCTCTCCTTACACTGGTCCTACTGGAGGTCTTGCTGAGCGTCGTGAGCCTGCGTCTCGTCCCGCGTCGCCTGTTCGTGCTGCTCGCGCTAGTGGTCGCAGTTCGCGTCAGCGTCCTCCTCCTGTCCCTGGCACGCACCGGATGTCTCTGCGTCCGTCCACTGCTCCTCTGCGTGCCCCTTTGCCTTCTCCTCCTGAGTCCTCTCTTCCTGCGCTTGCCGACCCTGAGTCGGACTCTCTTCGCGC